GGATAGATATGGGTCCATACTGGGCTGTTCTGGGCTGTACTGGGCCATGCTGGGCTGTGTGCTGCTGTACTGGTCTGTACTGGTGGATAGATATGGGTCCATACTGGGCTGTTCTGGGCTGTACTGGGCCATGCTGGGCTGTGTGCTGCTGTACTGGTCTGTACAGGTGGATAGATATGGGTCCATACTGGTCTGTACTGGTCTGTATTGGTCCGTACTGGCCCCTCCCCTGTCCCCACAGGCCCCGCGGCGACGCCCAGACGGGACCAACATGGAGCCCTGAGAGGAGGTAACGGGATCACTGGGATCACTGGGATCTCCCTGGAGCTCATGAGAACACACAGGATCACTGGGATCACTGGGATCCCATGGAAACACACAGGGCACACGGGATCTCACGGGATCTCATAGGACAAATGGGATCTCGTGGGGTCTTTTGGGATCTCGTGGGATCCCCTGGGTCAGGCGGCACCCCACGGGAACGCACAGGGCGTGTGGGGTGCCACAGGATTCCGAGAGCTCTCAGGGGGATCCCTGGTGATCTGAGGGGATCTGGTGGGATACGACAGGTCCTGGCGGGATCTGACACATCCTGGGAGGCCGGGCAGGGTCCCCGGACCCCCCCAGCGCCCCCTGACCCCCTCTCCCCCCCGCAGGCGCCGCCGTGGGATGGCGAAGCTGCTGGTGCCGCTGGTGGTGCTGGGGGCGGTGGCGGGCGGGGCCCCCCCGGCCGCCCCCCGGTGCCCCCCGCGCTGCCTGTGCCCGGCGGCGGCGCCGAGCCCGACGCTGCTCTGCGCCCGCACGGGGCTGCTGGCGGTGCCGCCCAGCCTGGACCGCGGGGCCGTGGAGCTGCGCTTGGCCGACAACTTCATCGGCGCCGTGGGCCGCGCCGACTTCGCCAACATGAGCTCGCTGGTGCACCTGACGCTGTCGCGGAACGGGCTGCGCCGCCTGGCCCCCGGCGCCTTCGCCGACCTGCGCGCCCTGCGCGCGCTGCACCTCGACGGCAACCGGCTGCCGGCGCTCAGCGGGCCCCAGCTCCGCGGGCTGGCCAGCCTGCGCCACCTCATCCTGGCCAACAACCAGCTGGCCGCCATCGACGCCGCCGCCTTCGCCGCCTTCGCCGCCACCGTGGAGGACCTGGACCTGTCGCACAACAACCTGCCGGCGCTGCCCTGGGACGCCGTGGCCGCCATGGCCAGCCTGGCCACGCTCACGCTGGACCACAACCTGCTGGAGCGGGTGCCGGCGGGCGCCGTGGCGCGGCTGCCGCGGCTGGCGCGGCTCGACCTCACGGCCAACCGGCTGCGGGCGCTGCCGCCCGTGCCGGGCCCGCCGGGGCCGGCGCTGGCGGCCGGGGGGAACCCCTTGCACTGCAACTGCGAGCTGCTGTGGCTGCGGCGCGTGGCGCAGCCGGGGCGCCTGGAGACCTGCGCCACGCCGGCGCCGCTGGCCGGGCGGCTGCTGGGCGCCGTGCCCGAGGAGGAGCTCACGTGCCGGGCCCCCGCCGTCACCGCCGCGGCCGCCCACCCGCCCGCCGTCACCGAGGGGCAGCCGCTGCGCCTGGGCTGCGCCGCCGTCGGGGACCCCCCGCCCGCGCTGCACTGGCTGGGCCCCGACGGGCGCGTGGTGCACAACGGCTCCCGGCGCTCCGTGGGCGCCGACGGCTCCCTGGAGCTGCGCGTGGCCACCCTGCGCGACCACGGCGGCTTCACCTGCGTGGCCGCCAACGCCGCGGGAGAGGCGGCCGCGCGCGTCGACGTCGTGGTGGTGCCGCTGCCGGTGCCGCGCAGGGACCGGGACGGAGACGACCCCGAGCCCGGGCCCGGCCCCTCTGACATGGCCAGGGCGGGGGGCAACGAGACCTTTGGGGGGGCGGGGCCCGGGGAGCGGCGGGTGGTGGCGGCCGAGGTGACCGGGTCCTCGGCGCGCATCCGGTGGCTCCCCCAGCGCCACGTGCCCGGAGTCCGGATGGTGCAGATCCAGTACAACAGCTCCGCCGACGACGCCCTCGTCTACAGGTGGGGACTCCCGGGGGGGTCCTGGGGGGCTTGAAGGGGTCATGGGATGGCCTGGGGGGCTCTGTGGGCAGGGTTCAAGGGGGTCTTGGGGTGTCCTGGGGGGCTTTGGGGGGTCCCGGAGGCAAACAGGGACGTCATGGGAGGGCTCAGGGGTCTCAGAGGGGCTCTGGGAGGTCCTGGAGGGCTGTGGGAGGGGGCAGATCAAGGAGGTCTTGGAGTGTCCTGGGGGCTCTGGACAGTCTTTGTGGGGTCCTGGGGAGCACTGGGAGGCTTCTAAGGGTGGGTTAGGGGCCACTGCAGGGGTCCTGGGGGCTCTGGAGAATCTTTGGGGGGTCTTGGAGGGCTTCTGGGGGGGTCTTTGAAAGGTCCTAAGGAGGATCGGGGGGTCACAGGGGAGTCTTTGAGGGGTTTGGGGGAGGTTTGAAGAGGTTTCTCTGGCTCTTCGAGGGGGTTCAGAGCTGTCTCTGTGGAGTCCTGCAGGTCTCTGGGGGGGCTCGGGGGGGTCTTGGGGAGAGGGGGTCACACCCTCCCGACCCCCCCCAGGCTGCTGCCCCCCTCCACCCGCACCTTCGTGCTGCGGGACTTGGCCCCGGGGCGCCTCTACGAGCTCTGCGTGTCCGCGCTGCACGTGGCCGGGGACCCCCCCGCCGCCCCCCGCCCCCTCGGCTGCGTCTCCTTCGCCACTGCCGCCGCCCCCCCGGGCTGCGCCGCCCCCCCCCGGCCCCACTTCTTGGGGGGCACCGTCATCATCGTCATCGGCGCCGCCATCGCCGCCTCCGTGCTCGTCTTCATCCTCATCCTCACGGCGCGCTGGAAGGCGGCGGGGGCGCGGCGACCCCCGCCCGCGCTCACCAGCGTCTGCTCCCAGACCAACGGCGGCCCCCGGCCCGCGGAGCCCCTCGAGCTGCCCCCGCTGCCCCCCCTGCCGCCCGGGCCCGGGGGGGCGCTCGGGGAGGGCCCCGGAGGGGGTCCCGGGCTGGGAGGGTCCCGGGGGCTGTTCCCCAGCCACAGTTACCCCCGGCGGGCGCGCCCCCGACGCCACGGATCCCTCCCGCGGCTGGACGCGCCCGAGGGGACCCCCCTGGGACCCCTGCGCCCCTCCTTCGGCAGCACGCACTGGATGCTGGAGAGCACCGTGTGACGGGGGGGGGCGGTGGGACCTCCGCCCCCCGCCGGGACCCCCCCGCCCCTCCTTCGGCAGCACCCACCGGCTGGGGGGGGCGGGGGGAAAGGGGGCTCTGGGGGTGCTGCGGGGGGACACCCGGGGTGTCCCGGTGCAGCTCTGGGTGCTCCTGGGGACCCCCGGGTGGTCCCGGGTGACCAAGTGCGCCCCTGGGTGCTCGTAGGGACCCTGGGGGCGGTCCTGGGGACCCCTCAGGTGCTCCTGGGAGCCCCAACGCCCCCCCCCCCCGGTGCCCGGAGCACCCCTGGGCGCACGCCCCGCCCCCCCCGGGGCCCCGTGTGCCATCGGGCCCCCCCAGGTGTCCCCTGGACCCACCCGCCCTGGGGGCACCTGTATGCAACCCTGACCCCCCCGTGGGCACCCGGGGGCGGGGACCCACACCTGGGGCTTGTGTGCGCCCCGACACGCAAGGGGGGGTGTCCGGAAACGTACCCCCCCCAAGCCCGGGGCAGGACACCCCCCCGGAGAGTCTGCGACACGCGTGTGCCCCCCCGCCCCACGCAGGACACGCACCTGGGACTTGTGTGTGCGCCCCAAAATGTGTGTGCCCCCTCAAGACACGCGTGGGGGGGTCTCCCCCCGGAACTCGCGTGTGGCCCCCCCTCCCCGCCACGCGGTGCCCGGCGCGCCCCCCCCGCGGTGCCTTCGGCCGGGCCGGCGGGGCCGGGGGGGCCCCGCACACGCCACTGACATGTCTGCACAGATGACACGAGACCCGCAGCCCCCCAAACCCCCCGGGGAGGGGGGCAAAGGCGGGGGGGCTCCCAGGAGGCCTGGGCCCCCTCCCCCGTGTGTCCCTTCCCCCCCCCCCGTGGCCTCTGAATCCCCCAACTCGGCCCGGGGGCTCCTATCTGGCTGGTCTGGATAACCCTGGGGGGGCTCCCCCAGCCCCCC